GAAACTGAGCAAACTCAGGGAGGCAGTGAAGGACAGGAAGGCCTGGCGCAATATGGTTCATGGGGTCACGAAGAGTCGGACACGACTTAACGACTAAACAACAACAACAATCCATTTGTAATTCTACCATGTCTACCCAGTACTTCTTCCTGCACTCATTATTTTTTTAACTGCAGAAAGTCTCACTTTTTTTTAATGGGTGGAAGAGTTGCTCAGTTTCTGCAACTGCAGATGACCTTACAATTACTCTCCCATTTCTTTTTGAGAGGTGCAATTCTGATATGGGACAATTGTATATGTCAGGCAGGTAATATATTGCAGGGTGCCATTTCACAACCCTGTCATTTCCGTCAGTTGTCTCTTTCTAAACACCTTTCCTCGACAAAACTTTCTGGGTACATGTGTTCAGAACATTGAAATGGTAATGAAATAGTGCTGTTTTATTATTGTCATTGCAATGTGTTTTTTCTAATTAAGCCAGCTATTTTGTACTCAGCTCTAAAATGCAAGGAAAGTGTTTGACATTCCATGGACAATTATATTTAAATTAATAAGCATTTAACAACTGAGATTATTTTTGAAATGGCTGCTCAGGTAACTTTGCCAGAACTTTACCACTTAAGGCACTATGGAAGAACATAGTAAAAATAAACTTGGAAATTTGCAGTGACGTGATTGTGTGGAACAGACTTTCCTACCCTAGGTGCCGTCCAGATATGAGGACTTCAGTTCCATGAATGTCCCTGCCAACATGACCATTGCTGAGAATTCTGGGTGTTAAAACCTATCAATAGTTAATTATAGTTCTGCTGGTGGGTTTCAGAGGATGAACACTGTCATTATTGCTAGGACTTACATGTCTGAAAGTTGTCAAGACATAAAGGACTGAGAGAAGATTAGTCATGATGGTTCCAAGTTTTAGGAGTCCTTAAAGCAAGGTGTCACACTCTCTCTGAACCTTCTTCCTCCTTGCCACTGTTGTTCTGCCTATTCATTTGCCTCTCTTTTTGGATTTCAAGAGAGTAAGTTCACACCATGAGGACACTGTTACTCCTCGTTCTTTTCACAGGTTGCTTGCTTAACAAAGGCATGTGACTTGGTGATTGTAGCAAGAGGAAAATCACAAAAAGCCATAGAATTTAGCAATGGGTTCTCTACTTGTGATATTGGCCTATAACAGATGTACGATAATATTAGACTGATAGTGACTCTCAGAAAAGGAAATAGTATATGTAGAATCACATTCATAAGCCAAAGGTCTTCATACTGATTCTGAATTTTTAGTCAATACAGTTTTTTAGAATACTTTTTATTTTAAATAGGTGTTCCTTGGACCCTTCATACATGGTTAGAGTCTTTGCGAACTGCTTTTCAACAACATAGAAGGCCTCTCATCCAGTGCTTGTTGAAAGAATTTAAATCTATCCAGGAGGAAGAATACACTGAAGAACTCATCACACAAGGGTTGCCTTTGATGATTGAAATCTTGAAAGCAAGTAAGGTAGGTGACACTGCAGACTTGTCATTCTGCAGCTCAAATTATTATTTCTATTGGGCTTTTCTGCTTATAAAGCAAATAGCTTGTACAGCAAAACACAAGCATTACAGATGCAAAGAAAAAATATTAAGTATAACAGTAAGACTTTCACTAAAACATTGCAATTTGAGGTAGATCAATCTTTATAGCAGCAAACCATCAAGAACTACAAGCTAGTGAAAACAGGTATTTTAATCAGAAGCAGATTAGACAGTGTATTCAAAACACTCTGTTGAAATATTATTCATTCTTTTATGTTCGGATTACACTGCCTCGTCTTGTTATCATCTCCCTTCCTATCCTTTATTAAGTAACATTTATTTTGTTAGTTACTTTGTGTAATTCACCTTCAAACTAGAATTGCAAATTAGCTTCAAACTGTGATCTGCAGTACTGGTGTAGAGGGCAAGCAAGCACCATTGGTTGCCAGTTTGAATGTAATGGGAAACAATGATCCGCCACAGCACAAAAAATGAATAATCAAATGTATCTTACAAAAGGAAGAGTTGGTGGGAATCATGGAAGCACTGCTCTGTGAATGGCTTCACATATGGTGGTAGACCATGTTTGAATAATCATGGTTTGTTGAGTAAGCTGCTATTGGCTGGGTTCACACTGCATCAAAAGCCAAAGCCTTAGGGAATCACTCATGGCTTAGTGCAATGTGCCAACCAAGTCCCTGAAAATTAATCCAGCATATATGACATTTGGTAGGTGTTACCAGACAAGGCTTTTATCATGGAATAACTGGTCAAAATTTCAACATTTATCTGGGATGCGATTGACATCTCTGTTTGGGAACCTTCTTTATTTATTTTTTCTTTATTCCCATCATTTGCGCCTGCTACCTCCACATTAAAAATGATAAGAAAGGAAAGACAGAACCGCTGCAGGATGTTTTTGATTGGTAGCGCTTGGGTCCTTCTTATAGAAGCATCCTCCCAAATGCACTGTAGGAGGAGGGAGTGTTATGTACTCCACCTTGAGTTGTACAAAATAAAGATGGGATATAAGTCAAATAAATGGATGTATGGATAGAATTGGTAGTTTTAAAAAACTGAACTGACAATCTCCATCTCTTGCAAGAGTGGCTTAATGCTGAAGTAGTTAATGGCTGGAGAGATGACAAGCCAAAACCTAGTAGTAAAGCTGAAGAGTCACTTAAGTCAAGAGAGGCTGATAAACAAATGAGCTGAAAGTGGCCTTTGGCTGGCTGGCTAGATGGAATAGTATAAAGAGGGCATTGTACACATTTCCTTCAACTGTGCGTAGCAATGCTCAGATCTCACCCCAGCAGATCTCATGAGGCTAGGATGGAAGTGAGCCCTGGAAACGTAAATGTAGAGTTGATGGGATGTTGTGGGATTGTGATATGATATGTGGTGTAGTTGTAGGTTTGTGGGTTATATTTATTCTGATTTTATGGAAAGTTGTGAGCTGCCTAGGATTATCAACTATAAGGTAGGCAGCCATATAGGTTTTCTAAATAAATTAATAAAAATAAATCTCATGTTAGAGTTTCACAGAAAAGGAATGTATTGAAAACTAAGACATTGTGAATGGATTAATCTATTAAGCCAGAAGTTCTCAATTCCTGGCGTAGATCCATTCACTGAAGTGCAGCAAAAGTGTATTCTTATATTCAATATCACATATTCTTAAATAGATTTCTTAAAACATTTATTTACTTACTTATAAGATTTCCATTTCCTTTTTCATGATAAAAAGCAGTCCCCAAGCAATGTTCTGTTTATTAAAAATGAACTGTGTACAATAAAAATAATTAAAATCAATAATTTGATTAAAAGAACTCTTTAAAAATGTGTAAAAATATTAATTATCTTTAAAAACTTTAATTTCTAGACTAGAGTATTAGATCAGACCTGGGAGATATAGCAGTCCAAATCACTGTGTTTCATTCCTTAAAAGGAAAATAATAATAATTGAAGTGTATATTTTGATAGAATTATAATATGTCCTTTGAAAAATAAAAGAGTATGATACTGCAACATGCATTATCCAGAGAAAAAAAGATGTTGCTTGTTAATATATAAAAGCTATTTCAAGGAAATAACGTGCCATCTATTTTGGGAAGTAGCCAAGTGCAGATTTGTTATTATTTGAAATTAGGTCAATTTTTGTCTAGATTGTTCATGTCTCCCTTCTCCCTCATTCAGATAGATTTTTCTATGGTCTGGTGACTATTGCAACCTATAGTATTACTTGTCATCAATGTCAGTACTTCTGTATCTAAACAGTTCAGAATAACCAGGATCCGAAATCTCCATAAATGTGCATCTTGCATTCTCCATATGAGAGGCAAACATCAGGTACACCAGTGTGGCATGCCAATATAACTCATAATTAACCAGTGTCACATAAAATGATTGAGTAGCATGGCGTTATCTAGAAACTAACCTTGGATTTGATGGATTTGCATTTAAATCCTTACAAATAATTTCTCCTAAGACATATTTCAACAAAGACCCTTCTGTTTTTTACAGAAAGGAAATATTGGTTGAAACTTCCTGAATTGGAACCAAGAAGTATTGATTCTATAACTTGTGTGCCCTCTTCTGATCTGACACCCATAAACATTTTCTTGGACCTGGGTTTTTGATACACCAATTTTAAAAAATCCTTTCAAAATCAAGTCTTGGCATTACTCCCAGTAACTACTGAAGGACATTTTATGTATCTTGTTTGATTAATGGTATTCTCTTTGGAAGGGCTATAGCTTAGTTTTGTAAAAATAAAAACCTATTTTCTCAAAGTAGACATTGCCTCTGGCTGTTAACTCTAACATCTTAGGTTCCCTACTCACAAATGTTGACTAGTATTAATGATGTATTGGATTAAAAATCTTCTGATAGCAGTCTTCCAAAGCAATATTTGATCAATTTTCATGCAACACTGATACTAGAGATCTTCCCCAAAGACATTTGGAGAAGTTTGGGCAGTCCTCCTTTTTGCATTAACAATACCATATGGGGTTAGTCCTTTGAGGTACACCAGTCTCAATAAGGACTATTGGAAGTCTGCTTTATTAATGTAGGGTATAATAACAGAATCTTGAAACTGTGACAGAGATTCTCTCTCCCCTCTTATACCAATGAGAATCAAGGTGGGGCAAATTTGAATTTCTTACTCAATCCTTCCTTCTTTTCAGGTCTAAACTTGTGTTTATCTAAAAGCTGTTGAAATCCTTCTTCAAGGCCATGTTCATACTCCTTTATGTGTGGCGGGAGGAAGATGATATCACATCATATGTAGCTTATGACAAACTGAAATTCCTGGCTTCACAGTGATCTTTTGATCAGTAATCTCCATTTCCCACTTTGTTTTTATGCACATATGGATCGGTTTCTCAGAAACAGAAAAAAAATACATTTCTCATTACTGCAGTTGTCTCATAAAAACTCAGCAATTGCTCAAAGGTTGAAAGCATGTTTATCTGAACAATATTTAGAAAGATTCTACTGATATCATCATCATCATCATCCATTTATTCATTCATTTTAATATTAGATGGTCCATACTTATTTAGTTCATAACCTGCCTTTCTGCCCATTTTTGAAGGAACTACTTTAGTCTTGTCAGAAATAGACAGAACAACTTTTTTCAAACTTGTGCCCCACCCCAGCTTCATTAATTCACAGTCAGCAAGACTAAAAGAACTGAACAACAATTTGTTTTGAAGATACTAAGTTGGGGAAGGTAACCACAAGACAAGAAGAACATCCCAACAAGATGGAGAACATCTTGCTCTGAAAGTCTACATTGGCTAGTTAGGACAAAAGTGTGGTGAAAAAAATACATATTTTTTTCCCAATACTGCAATTTAAGTTGGCTATTTGGGTTGGTTATTGCATTTGGATTCCAGTTCATGCAGTGAGAACACCTCATTTATAGACGAAAAAGGATCTAGCTTCCAAGTTCAATGGACTTTTAGCAGCAAATGACTTTTAGCAGCAATAGGAAGTTATTTTCATTTGTCTTGCTGCAGCCTTTCCTACTTCTTCTACTAGCCTGGTTGATCATTTGAAACCATTGGCTATAATAACATATAGCTAAAATTCAGTTAATAGCTTAGTAGATTGGGGGACATCTACCTGGACTTTTCACAGAGTCTCTCATTATATTCTCTATTGGCCAGATGACCCAACCCAAAGACTGCTCATTAATGGCTCAGTTTCAGCTTGGACAGTAGTATTGTATGGAGTGCCACAGGACTCTGTTCTGGCCTTGTGCTGTTCAATAGTTTTATCAGTGACTTGATTGAGGAAGTTTGAGGGAATACTTTTCAAGTTTGTAGATGACGCAAGGCTGGCAGGGATGGAGAGAGAAGAGAGGGAAAAATGAAAAAAGATCTAGACAGGCTTGAGTAATGAGTTGAAATGAATAGAATGGAATTTATCACAGAGAAATGTAAAGTTCTGTGGGTAGAAAAAAATAAAGGCACAAGTATAGGATGGGAGAGACGTAGCTTGGCAATAGTACATGTAAAAAAGACGTGGGTGTACTTGTCAACCACAAGTTAACCATGAGCTAGTGGTATGATGCAGCTGCTAGGAAAAAAAAAAGTCAAATGCTATCTTGGTGTGCAAGGAGCATACAGTCCAGATCATGGGAGATAATTGTTCCACTCTACTTTGTCCTGATTAGACCCCACTTTGAATACAGTGACAAGTTCTGGGCATCTGCATTCAAAAAAAAAAAAAAGCCAGTGACAAATTGGATCAAGTTCAGAGGAGGGCTACCATGATGGGGAAGAGACTGGAAATCAAGTTTTATGAGGAATGGTTAAAGGAAATGGGTATGTTTAGCCTACGGAAGAGATAATAAGGGGAGATGTGAAAGCAGTCTTCAAATATCTGAAGGACTGTCCAGTAGAGGCGGGAATAGACTTATTCAGTATTGCCCCAGAGGATAAGGTAAGTACCAGTGGATTAAAACTTATGGAGAAATAGGTTCGGGCTACATGTCAGGGGAAACCTCTTGACTTTAGGACCTGTCAACCAGTGAAATAGGCCACTAGATGAAGTGGTGAGTTCTTAACCCAATGCATATTTTCCTGGGATCGTGCTGCAGTTGTGGAGGGCAGACTCATAGTCCTGGGAGAAGATGCAGCTGCTTTAAGGAGTCACAGGTGATAAGCAAATGTCCTCATCTGCTCCATAGCACTGTTCTGCCTACCAGTTTGAAGTATGACATAACCCTTTTGTGTGTCTCATTGGCAGCCAGCTTCCAATGCCTGATGCATGGATGTGTGTTGTTAATCCCCTTTTTACTAGAGTTGCCAGAAAATGAACATGTATACAAGACATTTACTGTTTTATTGAGCTGTGAATTCTCCAAAGTTGGCTTAATTTTCCCCTCAGTTCTCAACTGAAAGACATAAAGACGTAGATTTGCATTATTTGGTTTTACAAGAGTATCATTGTGCCTGATGAGAGAAGTAATTACCTACAGGATATCTCCACAATATTGACTTATTCAGTTTCTAATAGAATAGTAGAGAAATTGCTCAAGGAAAGTTTAGTAAGGCAATATCTTACTACAGTTAAAATAGCAGGAGAAGGGTATCTGCTCACATTTTTAGGTCCCCACATTTTAAGCGTATGATATTCTATCAGTTCCTATGAGTGAGTCATAAAACATTTGAGTGAAAGAATTTTGTTTTGTATTTATTTTATTGCATTTTGTTTTGTTTCAGAATGAAGTGATTAGTCAACAACTGGCTGTCATTTTCACTCATTGCTATGGACCTTATCCTATTCCCAAGCTTATTGAAATCAAACGCAAGCAGACATCTCGTTTAGGTAAGTGTGGTTTTTGGGTCTTTAGCTCCAAATGTCAAAAGATATGCCTCAATCTTGGTAGACTTTTCATGTAATTCAAAATCAGAAGAGATCATAGGATATCCTAATCAGGGTCAAGAGCAGCTCACAACAACTAAAAATAACAAGGAGAAAAATAAATAAAAATAAATAAATAAATACAACAAATGTATAACCATACTAAAACCACTATTAAAATCTCAATTAAACACTAAACATAATTACAGTCAGCAGATGAATACAAGCAATACATCCCATTCAGTGTAACCATTGGAAAAGCTCACTATACTTCCTTTTGCTTTCCAAACCAAATGCTAGTCATTTACTTCACCAGTTGTTCTGCTTTGGAATATGGGTGTGTACAGTTGACCTTAATAATACTTTTACGCCCACCTTTCTCCCAGAGATCAAGCTAAGAGAAAACACAGAATTTACTCTGTTTAGCAGAATTTGCATTCAAAACATTGATATGCTGACAGTTGCATCTATGTTTAGCCCCCACTTTCCGCCTTAGAGTAGTTTCATGTGTAACAAGCAATTTGGACAAATGAAAATGGAAGGCATCTGAAGCAGTTGGTGTGTTTGTAGCCCCACAGTGCAGTTTGGAAGCTTCGTTTGCATTATTTGAAATTTCTGCCATACGTTTTCCAGATTCATTTTATTTATTATTTATTGATCACTCTTCTCCAAGTTGATATCTTCTAATATGTTCCTATAAGCCCAGACCGGCATGGCCACTGTTACTGAAGCTGAAAACAAATTGTATTAAAAGAGTTCTGGTGTTTAGACATAAAGAAGAATACTGACAAATAAGAAAACAAGTCATCCCTTATTGATTTATATAGAATGTATAACTTTACCCTGCCCCTTTCCCAGGACCTTGGCAGTTCCTAATCCTCCAAAATATGTGGGAAAAATAAACAGCAAACAGTTAATTATTTTTATATTATTTTCATTTCCTGGGAGAGATGCTTATGGGATTTTCTGCCCAAGATGGCACAATAACTTGACTCACTGGGGGGCTATGGATGGACTTGGAAAGGGGGCATAATTTCCCCCTCTGTCTCAGGCAGCAAGGTTAAGACTGCCCTGAAGGATGTCTGTTACCTTTAACAATAGTTTGAGAATCTATTTCAGTGGTTTGAAATGCACTTTGCATGACAGTACTAGAGTATTTGCCCTATCAAGAATTTCTTCAAAATAACTTCAAAGATATATTCATCTTAAACTGACTTTTACAACCAGGATCAAATATAGTGGTGTTTTAATTTATTCCCAATTAAAATGTCTTCCTCTTGTTTTTTGTTTCTTTGTTTGTTTTGGGGTGGGGTGTTTTTTTTTTGGTCTGTTGTTTTTTTTTTTTATTCCAGATCCTCATTTTCTCAACAATAAAGAGATGTCAGATGTTACATTCCTTGTGGAAGGAAGACCATTTTATGCGCACAGAGTATTACTGTTTACTGCATCCCCTAGGTATTTATACGTATTTATAGATGAATATGGCATAAACTTAATTTCAGTATTTTGGATTACATAAGGCAGACAGATTTATAGGTTACCCAACAAGAATTTGCAATGAAGATTATATTTCTTCATTGGCTAAAGAAATTGTCAGTGATTACTATAGATCTCAGTGCAATAGATGTGACTAGTAGAAAAGTGTGGTAGAATTCAGAAAGGGACATTAAAGCATAAGGAGAAAGAATACAAATCAGTCAGAAGAGTGGTAGTCTACTTGGGGAAGCTACACTCAGCAGCCAAACTATGTTTCTGCCCTAATGCTGAAGTCTTATGTTAAATATCAGTGTTAAAATACATCCCCAGATGAAAGTTGGAGAAATTTGCTTGCCATTATGAGCACAGAGCCATTGTGGTATGTATGATTGGACATCAGCTTTCCTAACAGCTTTGGAGCTGAGTGAGTGTAAATCTTCCTGGACAGCACCACAGGAATCTCTGCCACTTCCAGAGCTAGAAGGATACTGCCAGTTGTCTGACAACTATGAGCATAAGGTATTGGGGGCCAAGCATAATTTTCCCCATTTGCAATGCGCTTTTCTTCTCTGAAGCAGGAAAGGTGGGTGGCAGGAGTTGGAGTTGACTGTTGCTGAAGGCACTTGAGATGACTTCAAGAAGTTAATTACCATTCTCTTAACCTTCTCCTCTGAAACGCTTCCCTTCTTGACTGCCTTCTCCTTGCACAAGGATGGTGGAAGTGGAGGTGAGGAGGGAGGAGATAGAGAATTTATTGCTCTAACTTAGATGTTGGTCAACAGTACTAGCTAAAAGCCTAGAAAAGTAGTAGAAAAGTGGCCATTGGAAAGAACATTGTATCCTGTTCCCCTTTCTTGACTATCTAATTTGGCCTTCCTGGGCCTACTCCCTTCAAGATGAGCTGGAAATACTGCTGCCAGAATTACCACTCAGCACAAAGGCTGACAGTTTGAACAAGGCTGGTTAGTACAACCTGTGATCTGATGTCTTGAAGTTAAGCAGTTCATAGCTTTGGCTGCTGCTGGAACATACTTTTTCTGCATTAAAAAAGAGTATATGAGCCTGCAGTGGATAAGTATCATTCCTGTATGTGAACTTTATACCATACTGATGCAAGACCTTGTTTTTTTGGTGGTGTATTCTTTTCACAAATTGAAATAGCAAATATATTTGGATGTTTTTGCATAGGTTTAAAGCCCTGTTGTCCAGCAAACCCGCATCTGATAGCACTTTCATTGAGATCAGCTATGTGAAGTATCCCATTTTCCAGGTAACATTGAACATCTCAAGGAATCTCTGTATAAATGGCAATTAGTACAAGAGAAATTTCCTGAAATATGGACCCTGATGGCTGTTGTTCAATAGCAGCATTTCAATTATGTTATTGATTGGAATCAAACTATACATGAATGACATTAATCTGCTTTATTGTCTGAGTGTAGAATTAAATATTGTAATACATGTAGGAATGGTAAAAAGGTTTAAAAAGTAGAATTACTAGCAAAGTTTGAACTCTCTGGTCAATTAGAATAGTTTACTCAGGATCCTGAAGGATTCTTCCTCTGGCCACCATAAATGCATGTAAGGAACAGAGGCACCATATCTCCCATCAGGAATCTATCTGAATGTTAAGAAATGCAAGAGAGGCCCATTTGAAGATACCTTCTGCCTTTTCCTGTGTTGCTTCTATGCTGTGGAATGCATTCTCTTTAAGGCTGCATTTGGTTCCCACTCAGCCAACAATTCAAAACCATATAAAGATGCATCCTGTTCACCAGACTGTTCATTGATTTTATGCCAGTGCTACTGTTAATTTCAATTTATGTTTTTAGTTTTTATATTTTGCTTTTTAAATTTAAATGTAGCTGCCTTGAGTTGTAATAAATCAATCAAATGAACATTCTTTTTCAGAAGTGAGCTCCTACGTATTACACATTTCTTTTTTAATTTCTTGTATTGAGGTTTTCAGAAGTATGAATAATTGAGTGCTCCTTAATTATTCTGGAAGAGGTATGCTACAGAAGAATTGCCAGATTTATCTTGCTTTTAATAGTAGCATGACTGGCAGAGATTTAGCAAGTGAAGGCTTCCCTTGTGTTGCATTTGCATATTACTGTGAAACTTTTCCTTGCCCTGCATTTGCATGCTGAATTTCATCCTACAAAACTGCTGCTAAGTAGACCATATGAGCTCTCTTAGGAAGAAAAATAGTTGTTAATTCTATAGCTTTGCAACCAGTAGGGTTCCTTTACCAAGAAACCTTGGCTAAAAATAACTGAAACAACAAGAACTACTCCAAGGCATAAAGTTAAGTATGGGTATCTTTTCAATACATATTAAAATCTATTAATAACTATTTCTTTTCTGTTTTCCATTTTGGAATAACATTGATTTATCCCTTTTCCCTTAGTGTTCAGCAACTTCAGAAACAAACGTATTTTTTGTAATTTATGGATTTCTTTGGTTTCAGCTTATTATGCAGTATCTCTACTATGGAGGTTCCGAGTCACTTCTCATTAAAAACAGTGAAATTATGGAGGTAAGAAGCATCTTATACCAAAAACTGCCGCTGTTGTTGCAAGTATGCTAAATTTGGATTGAATAATAGATAGATTCAGCCATAGATTTGGCTGAATAAAAGGTGGGGGGCTGCTGAGGCAGAGGGGGAAGGGTGGCAGGGGCAGTGCGACCCCACCCGACTCACATTGGCCAGGGGCTGGCTCTCTCAGCCCCTCCTGCACTGGAGCGCACCGGGTGGGAGCAGGCTGGGCCAGGTCTTAGGGCCTACAGGACTCACTCTGCAGACGGTGGCAGCACTGGGAGGACTGCTGGTGATCCATGGTAAAGAATAAAAATGTTTGTTTGGAGGTGATATGATGATTGTCTTCATTGCTCATGTGGATTTTTTTTTACCCATAGATTTTGTCATTTGTAAAGCAAGAATGTTGTAAAACAACATTCCCCAGTAAGTTGGTGTAACAGGAACGAAGTGAACAATATAGCACCCAAATTTTTCAGTTTCATTAGATACTATTTGGAATACTATGAAATGTACAAAGACAGAAGATGAACAAGAAACATTCCTTTTGGTGCCCACAAAAATGGTTACCTCCCAAAACCTGTAATAATCTTTTTCCTCCTCTTTCAGCTCCTATCTGCTGCTAAATTTTTCCAGCTTGAAGCACTGCAACGTCACTGTGAGATCATCTGTGCAAAAAGTATCAACACAGAAAATTGTGTGGATATTTATAATCATGCCAAGGTAACCCAGTATTGTTACTCATACTTATTCATTGATGCACGTATCCAAGCTCAGCATCAGCAGAAAATATCCTTGGACAGGTGTCAAGGTCTAATTGCTGTAATCCTGGCCTAATTTTTGCCTGTGTTATGTTGTATCTTCCTGTACTATTACACTGAGAAATTGCATTGGCAGGTCCAGTTGTATAAATTCTTCCCATCCTTCCCAAATGTCTTATACTGGGTGGTTGACGATTAGTACCTGGGCTTAGGGAGGGAAGGGTGGGATTTGGCTCACTGTAGCTATATACGACATGGCTATTAATATTGTGTATAACATAATGCATATAGGCATTTGGTCCATTTAATCCTGAAGAAATGCAGTCAAGGGCTAGGATTAGGGTTAGAATTCTATACAGACAGGCTTGCTGCTGATTTTAAGCAGCTGTGATTGCTTTAAAAAAAACAACACTAAAATGGGGAATGAGCAATATACATATGTACATACATATCCATTGCACTATTCCCTTTTGGGTACAGCAGTGAGTGGCAGGGTTGAACCTATAGCGTGAAAGGTTGGAGATCTCAAAACCCATCTCCCAGAAGACTTTGGATTTATACGCTCCGGCCCACCTTCCTGACTTGGAATACTGCTTTGTAGTTTAGCACTGCCACCACCTGTCTTCCATGGGAAATGCCTTTACTCGGTGTCCTTCTAATCCCAACCTGTAAGACAGATAGGGGTCCCACAGTATCTTGCCTTCCAGCAAATAGCAGGGAAAAAAAAAAAAGAAGATAAAGAAAAGGAATTCTGTAGGGCCACTTCCTGGCTGTTTTAGCTTTCAGGTATGTGACTAGGGAAAACAGTCCCCACTCCTTTGAAGAATTAGATCAGCCTCACAAGTTATACTTTTAAAAAATCATCTATTAAAAATAAGGAAAAAGGAAACATGAAAGTTCTTTTATAACTTTAGGTATTTACATGCAAAGACAAGCAGTGGTGGGAAAAATAAACACCCAGTGGTGCTAAAACCACAAACGGCACTTTATAGGAATTTCCCACAAAAAATAGAGTAAAAGGTACTCTTTTACTGAACAGATAACAAGATGGCATTGACCCACAAATATTATAGCAGTAACTCTGATGGAAAGAGTTGCCCATTTGGATCTATGATACAAGGATTTAACTTGTGTAGAGACAATAATTATCAGAGAGCCTCCCCCCCCATAACCCTTAAACATATACAAAACAAAAGAAATTAAAACTTAGTGCAGTTCTTAACTAACTCATTCCTATTCCTCTAACAAACTCCAAAACACCTCTACAGGTGTTAACACCTAATAAGTCAAAGAAATCAAATACATGATTTAAGAAAAAGAAATATAGTTAAATCAAGTACAGAACAACACCATTCACTTTCTGGTAGAAAGCAAACTATCCTGCTTGCACCACATCGATACACCACCTTATATATTGCCTTTTCTTTAAACTTCTCACCTCTCTCCTTCTGAGCATCTCATCAACTTCTTTGATCTTCCCCTTCCTCTCAAGCAGAATTTCGTGCTGGGTTAAACCTCTTTCTGTACTGAGTATCTACACTATTGAACTTCCTTAGTTTAATGTGAAAAAAACATAATATGAGACTTGTAATTTTCCTAGTCATTGCTCAAGCAGATCAGTCCATCTGTAAATTTTTCTTCTTCAAGGCAAATCTAAGGAACTTGACAATGAATGGCCAGGGCTTAAGCTGGAACACATTGAAACATTTCAGCATCTACCTGACAATTTTCAGGCAAAGCCAATCCTATATTAGAACTTTCATAAAAAAAACTGGGTGGCCTTTCTCAGATTCTTCTTATATTCCAGTCATATTTAAACTGGCCCAGAAAATGAGATTTAAGGGACATTGTCCTGAACAATATTAATCCTAATCAATTATAGATATATCCACTATATATTTTCCAACTGAGTTATTCTTTTCTCAGTTGCATCCAGGATGATACTTCCAGTGTTAACAATATATTTAATATTTTTATGTTCTCTCTTATCTTCCACATTTTTCTCAATAGTTGTTAAAATAGTCACTAGACTATTTAGAATTTCTTTGGTACCATCCAGACAAATAACAAATAAGCCCTCTCAATAGTCAAAACACAAGATTAGCACTTGTTTCTGATTCTGATAGTAACAGTTACAATAGCAAATAAATGATTATCAGGATGAAAATAGTGTAGGGCATGCTGGAATATGCCAGTACTCTCTTGACTACAGTGCCATCTTGATCAGATTGATTGATTATGTGCCATCAAATCATTTTTGACTCCTAGTACCACATAGATAGATAACATGGAGAAAATCCTGATCAGAAGGAAGAATAAGATGGATTTTTCTGGGAAATTAGTATCAAGAGGACAGATTAAAGTTCATGTTGTATGTTCTAAGTGAGACATTTGTCACACTGATTGGAATACCCATGTAGGTCTACCTTAGATTGCCAAGAGATATTGGATATTGTTGAATAAGCACTGTGGGCTAAAGAATTGGCTTCAATGAACAATTTCAGTTCGTATATTTATTTGTGTTTCTTTTTCTCTTCCTACCCTTCATTTTCCATCTTCAGTTTCTTGGAGTCACAGAACTAGCTTCTTTTTGTGAGGGATATTTTCTAAAAAATATGATGGTTTTAATTGAAAACGAAGCTTTCAAACAGTTGCTGTATGACAAAAATGGAGATTCATCTGGCCAAAATGTTCTACAAGATTTACAGAGGACGTTGGCAACACGGATCCAGTCAATTCATTTATCATCCTCGAAAGGCTCCATTGTATAAAGTTCTGGAAGGGTCTGAAGTTTCATCAGAGACACTGCACGTGAAATGTTGCTGTTGTATTATCTTGAGCAAATATATAATTCTTTTCCTACTGGAATACTACATTGCGGTTATGGGCCAAAGGTGCTGCCACTTACTTGAATCTTCTTTTGGGCAAGATGTTGTGGTACAAGTGACTCCTGGGCATTTTTGGAACTGCAAGGATGTATTGGTGTCCTGTGAATTGTTATTCACATTCTGGACACAGAAGTGCTATTGTGTAGCTAATGCCAACAGAAGGTGGGCTAAGTGCTGGTAAAGAGCAGAAGCCCTGAAAGAACAAGAATGCCATGGAACAATTCTTTGACAAAACCAACACATCAGGTTTTTATTACACAGTGTTCTGTTCTGTTCTTTTCTTGTTTGGGGGGAGAGGGTGACTCCTGTAATACTTCCTTGTCTCACAGTCCATTGTATTACACATTTAAGAAATATAGGACTGGATTACTTGCTCATTAGCAAAAATTAAAAAAAAATGATAAGACTGTTAAAAAATGCGAAAACATATTTTCACAATTTGTTACTGGTGGGAACGTTTTAAAATGGTTCCTAAAAAATGGGATAGCTCTAAATTTTTTCCCCAACAGATATATTTAAAATTGAATGTAATATGTTAAGTTTGGCTATTATTTTGTTTTCAATGGTGAAATATACACTGTGTAAACATATATCTGAAAATGGTTCTGCTCATCTGCTTTCCTTAAAACTGGTATAATCTTGCCCAAATGTTCTGATTACACCAAAGAGGTGCAATTACCAAGGATTTAGTATTTGGGGTAGGGGGAAAATCTGCATGCTAGTTGTGGTTTGGGATTTAAAACAGCAATGAAATTCAACATGCATTTGCACGGTAATGGTACTTGTGAAATGTTATGTTTGTGCTTAATTTTTCCAAGAAAAATGACGATGCAATGTTAGTTCACTGTCAACTCCATTTGTGAAGTTATATTTCAGGGTTTATTTTCTGGATGCATACAGTTCCCACAGAGTAGAGTTTTAAAGATGAAGATTTCTAGTTATATACAAAAGGTCAAACCTGGGTCTTTATTCAAGGGAAAAGATGGTATTTTGTTACTAGGCAGAGGTTATGATCAAGATGATTTATTTTAATTATATATTAAATATATACTATAGAGTGATTTCTTGCCATAAATTCAGAATGAGTCCACTATATGCCTATAGAGGCCTGTACCAGGTCTTGAATTATTCAGTGACAAATATTTTTAAGACAATTTAATAAGTGCCACACACACTCAACAATGTTGATTGGATCAGCTGTTTTTTTGTGGACTGCAGTTACACTGGATTCCACCAGAATCTTTTATCATGCTAACTTTCCTTTGGTAGAACTGAATTATGGCTGGTTCATAAAGCTTTGAAAATGTTCATGATGATGGCGCAAAAGAACAATTATATTCTTTTATAAAGGTGCTACTTCTCATTTAAAGATTTTTTTAAATATATACAGGAATATACAGGAATCCAATTTTTGTAATAGAAGGTGAGAGAAGAAACGTTAGTTCTATGGCTCTGGACAATCCTCCTTAGTTGTTACTTAAACCATTGTAAGCCACAGCACTAAACTACCTTCATATTCTAGAGGCACAGCTTGGTGACTGAATAGTGAAGTATCAGCCTTGTCTGCCCCTGCCGTGTGGTCTGTAATTAGCCCCTTTTGGTGAATGTTGTGATGCTAAAGGGGCAAGAAGCTGACCACTGTAGTGGCTGTCTCCTTGCACTTCTTCCCTTATGGCTGTGCTTCCAGCAGGTGAGCTGTTGTAACATGACATCTGAAGATCTTGTATGCGTTAGTTGCCATGTTGCCAAACAGCAGCTGGGGATGGAGGATCATGCAGCAGGAAAGACTTAAGGCTGTTTTCAAAGGGATGCTAAGGCCAGCTTCCCACAACCTACTAGAATCATGCCATCACAATGAGCCATAATATGGTTTGTTTGGGCATAGCATGTCATAGGAACCCAGCCATTTATTTTGTGAAGCCAGGTTTAGAGCTAAGATTGTTATGAGAATCTCATTTAATCTAATCTAAACAGTTATTGCGATGAAGCATTTATGAATACAAGATACAAAATAAGTGGTTTTTAAACTGTGTGCATGACCTGTTCAGCACTGGGGGCTTGTTCTGTTTTGAAAGGAAAAAGGAATGTTGAACGGCTTTTGTGAAAACAGTTAAGGCCTATGTCCACGTCAGTGGTACTGACCTATAGATACCAAAGGAAGTGGGGCAGAGAAGGAAAAAAGCCTGTAGACGGATCCTCTTGATAAGAAGTTTAAAAACCCAGAACGATAGAGACTGTCACACAATCCTCATATAATGGGAAGAAAGTTCCCCCTCTCTGCCTCTTCAGTGTGGCTGCCTTAGAGGCACTTCAGAAGCACTGCCATGTTTAAGTAGGGCCAAGTGAGATCCTTTCTGGGATACTCAGACATGGATAGCAGCAGTTGCATTCTCCTTTCCTCCTTCCCTGACTGGAAGAGCATGCTGCAAGGCAAAGCAAATTAAAATTTCATGGCTGCAATTGGCTGAAGCTTTGTCCACCTAATATTGCTGTGGCTTGCCTGTGTTGGGCCACTGTCTTATGTCACTGTTAGGAAGTTCCTGGGTTCTGGGATTCCTGGTTGTCTGTAGGAGGGAGAAAGGACACTGAACTTCTCTATTTCTTCCTTTTTCAATGCAAATCGACAGCAACAACTATTCTGATTATTCTTCCAGAACTGATGTCATGTTCCAGTGTCAGATTTCTGTTTAACTTACATATTTACATTTCACTGAAATTGAAAGTATGCTTACAATTTTATTGAAGTTGTAAATTGATTGAGGGATTTAAAATCAAGATGGTGTTGGTTTAGTAGTAGGATAAAGTTGTGCCAAATGTTAGCTACGTCATAGTCTATGGCAAGATTTAATAAGATCTTAATGGACTGTGAGTCTGGTTGAGTATTTCTTTTGCTGTGTCTGCAATCTACTAACTTGATTGAAAGTTTGCTTTCATCCAAGTTCCTACTTCCTATCATTCTGCAGAGGTACAAGTATTGTATAACAAGCTTCTGGAACCATCTGTGTGCTAACCACGCAGCATACATATTATTAATTAAATACCTAAATAACTAAAAAGACCTAGATCATATAACTAACAACGATTTAATACTTGTTGTCACTCTTGTTGTGTATGTTTTTGCAATACTGTTCCAACAGAAGCCATTTGTAGAGTATCTTTTAAAAAGATATTTATTATGTATTCATCAAACAATCCAGCCGTCACATGACACCTTGCCTTTGTCTTCGACTGCCTTCTAAAGAAAAGAATTCCCAAGAATGAATTTTTACTCATCAGTTTTGCGTTACCAATAATAGTCCTGTTTTAGGAAGGCAACTGGAGATAAAAGTGAGTCTATACATACAGATGGGTTACTGCTACAAGATAGAAGAGTGAAGTAGATAGAGAGGATTAATAGTCACATTTCAGTACAGTAATAGATTAATAGAGAGTTGGGACAATTACTTAACAGCAATAGGCTTCTTTGAAATTAAATGTAGAGCTTAAATGGGCAGGAATCTAAAATCCCCACACAAAGAACCGTTACTGTTTTTTGCTTGTCTCTAATTACAGGAATATGTTTTTTATTCTCCCATGCAGACTCCAATATCGAATGAAAATTCAGCTTAGTTTATCAACTCATTTTGCTGGAAAGGAGTATTTGTCTGAATGTCTAGTGATCAGCTTGATCTATTCAGCTTCTTTCCTTTGTGTGCTGAAAGCATCAGTTTGGCTGGCTTTGCTGCTTTTATAAGATGGGACTTCTAGATCCACTAAGAAATAAGGCACATATAGAAAGAGCTTGTGTTGGGGACAAATTAAAACATAGACTTACTTCTTAAAAATGAAAACAGAAGTCACAGCCAAGTAGGGAAAAGCCTAAGCAATGAAACCTTGCAGAATACTTGGTGATAACCAGCTTTGGTAAATTGAACCCCAGTTCACAAGGTCAGATGTTTAGGAACACATTAAATCTATCAGAAGTATGCACAAAAAAATGTGTGAAGGGTAACATGCATAAACCTATAGTCTAGACAACTGCAACTGTGCGATCAAATTAGTTGTACCACATAACACATGTAAAGAAGGCGAAACTTTGCTTTTACAGTCATAGCCACCATTTTGACTTTTTTGATCCCTGATGCCCCTGTATGTGACATTTAGTACATGTATCAGGATAACTTGAAGTTTGCAGCTGAATCTACATTGAGTTGCAAAGCTACGTTTGCCTTTGAGTAATATGTAAACTCTTCCTAAGTCTTTAAACTCCTAAAATCTATCAACTGACATATTTTGGTCATAACAATATTTATTCATCCTGCACTTTCCTTCAAAATTTAATATCCAGGTGGGGAATTTAATCTTCATGTATTAAATGAATTGTATTTATTTTTCATTGTTGCCTTTTCACATACATCGAAGAAGATGTTTCAGATTTTATGCAACTCCTTCTGCTTTGTCTGGTTACAGGTCTCAAAAGACTTACAATTCTGCTACTTCAAAATAAGTTCAGCATTTAGTTCTTTCAATGGCACCATGAAATGCTACAGTTTAAAAGCCCCATGGCATTTCTTCACAATAAAAGTACTGTGTAAAGGTTTTAAAAAAAAAACATAATCTGGTTTGTTTTCTTACCAAACTCAGGTTAGTCAGCCATGACAAAATGTATACATATTTAAAGTTCAGCATGGAAAGAAAGAAAGAGACAGACAGACACAAATATTTTATACTTCCTGGGTTAACATAGAGAAGGCTGGAGATGACATACCTTTCAAAGGTTTATTGCCATTAAAGAACTGACTGGAATAGGTTAAAGTAATCAAACTAAGACCAGATTCCAGCCATAGTTGTCGTACTGCACTTAAAATCCTATTTCCTGCCTTACACTTCAGGGTGATGTTGTAGGATGTTTAATCCTCATTTGGCTATATTCAAAATATAATTTTGGCTTCATTCAAAATACAGTTTTCAAGGTGAAGTAATTTGGCAAAGCTGCATGTTACCCAAAGCTCTCCTTTTTCCTGCTAGTAAAAATAGAATAAAAAGTTTGAAGTCTCTTTATGATACCCCAAATCTCCTGACTGAGCTGGCTTTAATCCCTGTTTCTTCTGTCCTACAGAGAACACGTCTGTGTCCTCTGAAATTACATAGAGTCTAGTGTTAAGGCTCTATAAAATACATTGGGGAGCAATGGCTTAGGAATGATCTTAAAGATCTCTTCCAAAACATGGATACTCTTTGAAAAAAACTGAGATATTCTCCAATAGACTACAGTCTAAAATATCAGACAACTATCATATTAGACTGTTATAATTTATGAATGTACTATATAGATCACCTTCCCCAATGGCGATGCTGGCTGGAGCATTTTGGGAGCTTCATCATATCTGGAAAGGTATTCTGTTGCAACACGATGATATCAATAAAGCTGTAATTCTGCTCAGACATCAATTCAGTTTCATTTACTGAATGAAGTCAGATATTCTCAAATCCTAGTAGGAAGCTACTTGTTATTCTAGGACTTTAAATGTCACGCTTCATCCCATTTCTGTCTTGTCTTCCAACTGAGCTGTGGAAAGAGGTAAACAGAATGTACTTCTTTCTGGCAAGAATCAGCTCAGGAACTAGGTGTGAGTGAAAGCCTGTCTAACTGTCTGCTACTTCATTCACTGCTAAGTGAATGGAAAAAAGATGAACAAATGCATAGTTTAATCCACCAAAGTTTAGAGGAGAAATACAGAGTTCTGCCCAGACTGATAACGATACTTGGCCTTCAGAAACATGCCAGAAACAACACTTGAAAAAAGTGGTTGGTAAGACCAGGACAAATGCAATTTCATTCAGATTTGTATTTAGAATGAATTAAATTGGTATAATTAACATGATCCCTCTTCAGTGATATATTTAATGTTTTTTCCTATTTTTTCCTATTGAAAATGAGTTTGATAACTAGTCTTAGAAATTGGCAGGTCT